TGCCTTCTAGTTTGTTTGTTTGTTGTGTTTTGTTTGCATGCCTACATATTTTTTCTCAACTTTCAATGTACATTTCAATGCAGTCTTAAAATCATCTTTTAGCTGGGTACAGTAGTACATACCTGTAATCCCAGCTACTCAGGACCAGCCTAGGCAATGAGCAAGACTCCATCCCGAAATAATAATAATAATAATAATAAATCTTCTCTTGAATTTTGAGCCATTTTACTTTTTCCATTTTTATGATCTCTTGATTTTTCAAAGTGTCCTTTTTTTTTATATAGTATCCAGTTGTCTTTTCCTTGGTATCATTCCTTAGCTCTGTATCTAAGGATATTAAAGGTGTATATGTGAAAGTTTTGTTTTTAAAATTCTTTCATCTTGACTTGTTCTGTTTCAAGTTGCCTTTTTTTTCTGTTTGTTCTGATTTTGACCTTTTATGTATGTGATTTTCCTCACATATCTGTCTGATAATTCTTGGGTTTTGCTTCTGTTTAAAAGTGGGGGCCTAAACAGCAAAGTGGGAGTTTTGAGAGCACAGTTGGAGCTTAACCATAGTTGCCTGTATCACTATGGGCTGACCTGACAAGGCCTTTTAGCTGGAAAATCTCTGATGCACAAAGGAAACTCCTCAGTCTCATCACTGGGAGAAAATAGGATTGACTGCCCACACAGTAAGGGCAGGGCAGGGGTCCCCAGGTTCATTGTGCATACATTTGGTTTGCAGCATCTTGACCCACCCTTCACTGGGCCTATGACCTTCAGTCCAGCGACCTTCTTCTCCAGGCTGGGTGGGGCAGTTGCCAAATGCTGAGGAATGGGAAGGGGTGGAGCACCAGCCTGCCTCCCAGGCAGAGGATAATCAACCCACACTTTGGTTCCTGGTGGAGGCTTCTGCAAGTGTAAATTTGTTTCATTCTCAGCTCTCTGACTAGGGCTTCTGGTAAGTTTTAACACTGTTCTATCTGCCTTCCAGAATTTGCTCCTTCTCACCTCTTTCCTGTTATTTTAGCCTTCATGAATTTACTCCATTTTTTTAAAGTGGACTGGAGAAGAAGCAGAAGTGTGTACAAACCATCCATCTCTTCAGAAACCAATAAGTCTTCCAGGACTGTGACTGCTTTGTGTTACCAAACCCTAGCCACTGCAGCCTCCAACCTTCATAAAATAGCCTTTCTTGAAAATAATTCCTGAAGGATTTTACAATATTTCAGTTACTCTGAGCAGTGCATTGCTCCCTCCCATGCAGGTCCAACTTACCTGACTGATTTTGTCTGTTATTCTTTTAAAGACCCACAATTGAGTAGATTTTAATAGGATCTCATCTTGCCTTATTGGGCATGATCCTGTTATTCTATTGCTATTTAATACTTATTAGGAGCCAATGGTTTCTTTTAAAAGTTGGATTATATAGAATCCCTTCCTGGTAAATCGCTGATCCAAATTAGTGGGTAGTAATTCCAATTAATTGGCTCAATCCTCTACTCCCTGAAAAGCCACCATCATTTCATTGACACTGCAACTCTTCTTTGAGTCATAATATTACTTGTTAGGACTAGTTAGCTGTTACCTTTTGCTTGTTAATACAAGTGTTTTGTGTATCGTTGTGACAATGATTTTTGGCTCTTTGCCCAAACTTTTGCTTACTGCCCTTATGCAGACCTGGTGCAAATTAGAAAGTGGTTTTTGCCAACCCAGTTCCGCTTTGAGCCATTTCCTAGTTCCATTTGATTATTCATTGTAGCTATATTAATTGTAGAAAGCAATGCCCTCTAAGAGCCTTAGAGACTGTTTTGACTTTGCAAGATGGAAGCCCAACAGACAGTGGTCAAATGGCAACAAAAAAGCTTTACTGGGAGCTCTGACCTCTAGGTGTCAAAGTAATATTAAACCCAAATCTGACTTTCAGGTTGTATTTAATAAGCTTCTAAAAGGGAGTGTGTCCTTCCTTTAGCCTTCTCACCTCAACTAGTATAACAAATCCCAAATATGTGCTGTGACTAGCAAAGCAATCAAAGAGGATCAGTAGCAGACACTAAAAATCAAGTGGTCCAGCCATGCAGCCTCTTGATATAAATGCTTTCCCTTAGTCCAGGTGAGGAGGTAACATGGGGGGCAATTCTGACCCGCAGGCTAAAGCCCTGCTAAGGCCTGCTTGCTACTATCCTAGAAGTAAGAATGGGTTTTGCAGTTTTAAAGGGTGGCACTATGAAAAATTAAGGTGAAAAAGAGAAGGAGGAGAGGGGGAAAGAAGCAAAAGAAGAGTGAAATGGGAAATACCCAACAGAAACTATGTGATCCATACTGCCTGGGTCTTTATGAACAGGTTTGCAGACCTAGGGTCCAAAGACCCGTCTTCCTTGGCCTCATTCTTTTCCTGAATCACATGCTCCTTCTCAAATCAGGGAAATTGTCCCAAGTCTTTACTGTGACTTTATCAATTTAAATATGTATATGTGTTTGTGCAAGTTCAAAAAATATATAATTATAAATAGATTTGAATCACCAATTTTCCAGATCATAATATCTGAGATTATTTACCAATACAAAGGACATATTGGAATATGTATGTGTACATAGGTCAGCGTAGACTAAATCCTTAGCCACACATTGTAAAAAACACAATATTATGAACAGTGTTGGCTTTAGGTGGAGCGACTGTCATGAAAAATGACATGTCATGCTGAACTGTGTCTCTTCGTAAAGTATGAAATGTAGACAAAAGTAAAGTTAATGCCTGCCTATGAAATACAAATATTCTTTCATTTACTGAAAACCTAACCAAAGAAAAGTTTTCAATTAACCAATTAACTTTAGAATAAGTGATATTTGGGCTGGGGATGTGGCTCAAGCGGTAGCGCGCTCGCCTGGCATGCGTGCGGCCCAGGTTCGATCCTCAGCACCACATACAAACAAAGATGTTGTGTCCGCCGAAAACTAAAAAAAATAAATAAATATTTTTTTAAAAATTCTCTCTCTCTCTCTCTCTCTCTCTCTCTCTCTCACTTTAAAAAAAAATAAGTGATATTTTTAAAAAAATCATGACTTAAGCAGTTTTCCTCCTTTGGTCTTTATCCATAAGAAATTCTGAGGGCTATCATTACTCAGTTATCACATTATAAAACATTTCCATTCTCCATACTCCAGAACATCCTATTTCTAGGTGAATGTTCCAAAAACAGCTCTGATCCTATCATTCCTTGCTTTGTAACTCTCAGCTCTACATAACTTGTCAGATTGATCCACTCAACATTAAGAAGTTAAAACAAATAAGTGTATTATCAAACATTCCCTTTCACATTAATCAATATGAAAAGTAACCAGTTGTACAGTTTATATTATTCTACATATTGTGTTATAATTCTCTCACTGTTGTGGGACTTTTTTCACATTTGCCTTGATTTTCTTGACAGAGTTGGCACACTGATAAACTGAAGATTCCTCCAGTCGTCAAGTATTTCTCTTTGCTATCAATAGGTGATTTCATAGCATATTCAGATGATTGATCCAAAAGAATGTTTGTGCCTGGCACAATAGTGCACACCTGTAATCCCAGTGATCCAGGAAGCTAAGGCAGGAGGATCACAAGTTCAAGGCCAGCCTGTACCACTTCACAAGACCCTGTCTCAAATTTTTAAAAAAGGATTGGGAGTTTCACTCAGTGTTAGAGGTGCTAGAGGGTTCAAGCTCCATCATCATAAAAAATAAAAATAAAGCTTTGTGAGGTCAGAGCTCCAGTACACAACCTATTTTAAAATTTAACCCTCCTTTAATATCCATTATTAACATGGAACTTTCCAGTTTATAGAATACTTTCATTTTGATGTCTTATCATTATTCATTATAACCTTTTGAGCCTGGATTATAAAACAAATATATATATGTATCCCTCATCAATCTTTAATGCTTATCTTAAATGGTACCTGGGACTTGCATAGTCAATTAGCTAACTTAATGCTCTTTTATTCCTCTGTGACTGGTCCAGGGAACACACAGACTTGTCCTATGTTCATAGAATTCATCTCCAGCTGATAAATCAAATTCATTCTAAGGATGAGCACTGACATCAAAAGTAAACTTTTACATCTTTCCTTGCAGAAAAAAAATCATTTTTAAACATAAACAAGTATATTCTGTTGTTGGGATGGCAGATTGTAGAAATCCATAGGTCAACATTAAGCCATTGGCATTGTTTATTTTTAAAAAATGAGAAAACAGAAAAGTAGATTTCAGTGAGAAGCTGGTCTTGAAGTAAATGAGCGTGTCCTGGAAAAATGTGCACTTGAGGAATCGTGATGGATCTATACTGTTGTCAACTGTGGGTATTTAGGGAAGGAAACGGGACTCTTAACAATATGACTCTTAATAGTCAAGTCAGCGGAGCACATGGTAGGGAGATGCTGATGCACCCTGTCTCAGCAGGAAACAAACAATTAGTTGTGCACTTTTTAGAGTTTTAATCATCTGAGATTTATTAACAAGGCCCACTGCTGACTGAGGAGGGCAGGGGCACTTGTACATAATACAGAAATGAATTGAGTCATCATTTAGGATATGGAACTTATCCTCAAACGGAATACATTGAGTTGACACTAAATATCTCAAAAACTACAAAAGGAAGGGAAAAATAAAGGCAGGAGGACAAAAGATATTAATTCCAAATAACTGCCTTTATTAAGAGGGGGCTGAAAAAGAGCAAAATGTTTGAAATCCCTAAAAGTTACCAAGTTCCTTTTATTAACTAATCTGTTCATTTCTATAGCCTCACTACTGAATTGATGACATTTTTTTAGAAAGTGGGAAAACTTCCCTTTCAAAGTAGACCTAGAAAAGCTTTGAAAAGCACTGTTGCTCTAATGACAGGGTTAGGCGGGCCTGTCCTCCTACAGTTAATGAGCTTCTCCCCTCCTGCAGGGAGAAAGCAGCCATCTCAAGGTCTGCACTGTGGCCAGATGCTCCCAAGCAATTAGGAGCTGATTAAGTGTTTATCTTCTTTACAGGTGGGAAGGAAAGAATGAAAACGAAGTGGGCAGATGTAAAGAGACCGGCAAAGTTCACGTGACTGTGGATCTCAAATACTACAGACCAACTGAAGTGGTAAGGTCTCCCTCATCGCCCAGTGTGTGGTCACATTTGGCCACTAACTGGGAAAATACTCTCATTGAATGCCTATTGCCAACTTTCAAAGCCATTTGTGCACCTCTCTGGTATCCTTCTGCAGGCATTTCCCAAACCAGAACACGGGAATTAAATTTGTGATATCATTATCACCACAAAAATCCATGACTCTGTTAAGAAAAACAAGAGTAAAACACACCCAAGGAAATAGTTGATCTCAGAAATGGAGGCTGATAGCATGGGCACATCCCATCACATTAGTCTGTTCTGATGGCTGATCTCCAATGCTAACTTTATAAGTCAGGTGCTCTGGACCTTCAGGGTCTGTGGGATCTGGAGGATCACTTGATGCTCCAGCTGAGCCTCTGCACCCTTGCACATATGCACACATACACTCACATTCATGCATACCCATACAAGACATATTCACAGACATACCTAAGTGATAAACAGACTATAAAGACTCACCTCAAGTACCACCCAGTCTATGAAGCCTTTTCTGACCAATACTCCATTACCACTGTAATTTCTCCCCTTTCCTATGTATCCACATTGTCTGATGTGCATGATTCTATTATAGTACTTATTATAATCACTTGTTTTCATGTCTTTCTTCCTTTATCAAACTCTGAATTACTTAAAGATAGGGACTTTTTTAAAAAAGAGTATAACAATGTAGGTGTTTAATAAATACTGACTGATGGGTTGATGGATGAATAAATTTATAAGTACAGAAGTTTCTTTATTAAGAAATAACCCATAGATCATTAGTATCAATAGTATATATTATTAGTGCGTAATATCTTCTTTTCCTGAATTTATGAAAACATGTAGCTTAGTGTTGTTACTTTAATGTGGTCCATTCTCACTATGGTGACAAAATACAAGATCTTAAATATAATAGAAATATACAAAGATAACTGGAAGCCGCATCTTGAGACTGCAGCATTGTAATGTGATGATCACCAAATGAAGTGCACATTAACTGTGAAGGTAGAATCCTTTTGAACTCCTTTCCTGTTTTGAACCAATTTTCTTTCTGGTTATACAGCCTTTCAGCGATTAAGAAACTGCCAGAGAAAAGAAGAATCAAATGTGAATATGTAGTCATTAAATACCCTTTAAAATTGTTGTTTCAAACAGAAAAAAAAAAAAATCTGTAGTTTGTGCTCTGGTACACACAGGAGGGGAGAAAAGGCAAAGGAAGCAGCCAGTGCTTGGGAGAGGCAGGGCTGTGTGGTCCTGCATTGTCCCGGCACAGGGCGTGGCCCAGGCTTTGACACAGCCAACAATTGTTCCTGGTGCTAATGGTGAGTGGGTGTGCCTAGAGAGGATGTGCCCTGTCCCTGGAGGAGGAAGATACCAGCCACATTGCTGCTGACACAGCACCGACTGCCTGTCTAGAGTCCCAAGCCACACTGCCGTTTGTTTCCCCTGTCCCCATGAGGTGCCACAAGGGCATCATTTTTCTGGAACATTGCACAGATAACATATATGTGCAAATTCGTTTTTCTGCTCACAAACAAAAATAGTCATCTCAGAGTGGAAAATTAACGAAGCCAAAAGAAACCCGAGTGCTTACAAGAGCTCAAATGTGGCTCTTTCTCTCACTTGACCCCAAAATAGTTTCAAAAGCTAGGAAGTCATTAAGAATGGCTTGTCTGTCATTCTCACTTAGGCAAGGTGTGGGATTGATAAGGACACTGAACAAAAGAATTTGCTGAACAGGAAAGGGACCCTAAGACTAACAAGACTTGTTCTTGAATCCCCATGGACCCTCTTTCCTGCAGCAACACTATGCCCCTCCTCCATTTCTTTTGTTCATTCAAGCACTATCATCATACCTGTTCTGCAACTCTGTTGACACTAGCATTGTTTGAACATAAGAGTGGTGTCTAATTTCATATGCCTGCTTTTTTTTTTTTTTTTAACAACCCATCTAACTCTCCTCTGAGATTCCATTTCCCTCCTGATTTTGGATCTTAAACTATGTTTTATCTTTCTAGGCCTCTAGGCTGCATTAATTACTTTCACTCCACTTCAACTTGGTATTCCACTGGGTGTACTTTTCTTGTATAGTGATATTACAAATTTTAACCTAATTCCTCAGAAGGAAATTCCCCTAAAACTTGGAACAACATGATGTCTTCTGTGGAGTTTTCCTCTGGGATGACCATTCTTCCTATCAAAGGCATCTAGAACAGTCTATTCTGCACAAGCCAGAGATTTCTTTTCATTCTTCCTGGGATTGATTCTATGAAAGTTTGGTCTCCTTTCATAGAAAGTTGTTCTCCTGATCAACTTTGGTCATCTATCCCCCAAGATCTTCAGTATATAGAGGCACTCGAAGCTAAAAGCATAAACTTGGCCCAAGGGGAATGGTTCATGGGTAGAGCACGTTTCAGTATGCTGAAAGCCCTGGTTCCATCACCAGGCCAAAAAATAGAAAACAAATTTTAAAAAGCATAAACTAGGTTTTCTTACAGTTAAATGATTCCAGAATGACTGATAGGAAAAAACTACCAAGAAGAAAATTTGAAAACAATAAAATATGATGAGAACATCAGGTCTCATAACATGAATATCCTAAAGCAAAATTAATAGGAATTAGAGCTTTATGTTATTTTTTTTAATAAGCTCAGCCTAGTCTTAAGTAAGTCCCTTTGCTTAGCAAAGTCGATTACTCATCCAAAAGAGGCCACCAGCGAGACCATGTAGAACATGGTTCTGCATGTGCTGATAATTTTTTTCCTCATTGATTTATCCAATGCTAACCCTTAAATCTTGCTCTTGTTCCAACTTGGAATGTTTTTATTCTGGACCAAGGACTTCAGCATCCAATTAGAACTGAATGGAGCCCCATTTAATGGTACTTAACCTATAAGCCTTTGGGGTTTCCTTTAGATGTTTAGGAGTTTTGCTGCTTCAGATAGCTTAATCTTAGAAATTAGACTTTAAATTCTCATTGACTCTGAATTCCAGTATTTGCTGAAGGCAATCTTAATACTTGGAATTCTGTACGACCTAAGACTTGTGCCTTGGCCTGGGAGTGCCTTAGCATGCATGAAGCCCTGGATTCCATCCCCAGCATTGCAACACAAAACAAAAAGATTCCTTCCTTGTATATGGTTACTTATACATACATAGGTTTATCCCACAGATTTATTACAGAATATACTCATTTCTGGAGAAGTAGTAACATTGTGTCCTGAGAACACCTCCCCTCAAAAAATGTAGGACTTTGAGCCAGACTACCTAAATTCAAAACCTGTTTTTGCCTAGCTGTGTGACCTTAGGCAAGTTACTTAACTTCTCAGTGCATCTGTTTTCTCATTGTTAAAAGTAAGGTTAATAATAAAACTTCTTTCAAAGAATTGCTGGAGATTTGACAGAGTCCATTATACAGTGTCTGGCACACAGTAAATACCTAATATTGTTTCTGTTGTTGTTATTTATTTATTCACTCACTGAATATTTAATAAACACTGTGCTAGACCCTGGGAATACAAGTGTGAACAAGACACATGTGGCTCCTTCCCTTGTAGAGGTAAGGATGATATCAGTTCCCAGAGTCCAGAACCTTTGGAAACGTAGGACATCATTAATGAATTGTGCAGGTTAACCAGTGATAAGTGGATAACAAAGGCTGATGGAGACTTCTAGCAAACATTAATATGTACTTGTTCTGTCTTGGTTCTCATTCTTTTGGAATCTTTCTGAAGGTTCAGTAGCTATTCAGTGATATGAAAATATAAAAATATGAGAAAATTGGTACTGACCTATTGTGTAGTTTAAAATAACCACAAAGATATCCTCTTTTTCTTTGAGAACTTTAACTTGGAAAATTCTCAAAGGAAGGATTAATGGAATATTCATCTTACATGTGCCAGATTTTTAACCACATCATATGGTTGGTTCACTAAAAAATAAAAAATAATAAGACTTTTTCATTGAAATAAACAAAATCCTTTTTGTGTACAGAGCACTTGTAGGAATTGGGGTGATGGATACATTCACAGGCCCAAATCAATTATTTTCCTCAAAATATATTTCGGTTTAAACTCTACTAGGTGGGCTGGGGATGTGGCTCAAGCGGTAGCGCGCTCACCTGGCATGCATGCGGCCCAGGTTCGATCCTCAGCACCACATACAAACAAAGATGTTGTGTCTGCCGAAAACTAAAAAATAAATATTAAAAAAAAAAAACTCTACTAGGTGATATTTACTAACTTTTTTTTCATTGCTATACCATTTGTCTTTAAAATTTACTTTTCTCCCTGTTGTATTTCCAGTGTTCTAAGTTGTGCTTGGTTTTTGTTTTATTTACGTAGAAACCTTATATTTATTCCTAATCTTTAAAATCTAGTTCTAGATTTTAACCCATGATATTAGCAAAAAAAATCATGGGTTAAAATCTAGAACTAGGAAAGCAATTACTTCAAAGAAGTCTGACCAGCAAGCTCAAGTGATTCCCTCCCCCAGTGAAAACCTGTGGACTGTTTCTAATCAGATCACCATATGCTTGTCGAGTTGTCCCTCCCGCTATCCCCCACCACAAACTTTTCCTAATATTTTTCCGTAAACTATGTTAAGTTAAATGGCCTGTAATTGCTTGCTCTATCTCACAGCCCTGTTTGGAATAATGATATGTAACACTTTCCAGACCTCAGGAATCTGATCTGTCATCAGAGGACTTGAATAAATACCAGTTAGAGCTTCCCTCTGTATTTGGGGGTGAAAATCCCTGGACGTGTTCACCAGGGTAGACTTTTGTCCTGAAACTTGTCCCCTTTTCCTCCCGTAGCTGCTCTCACTACTGCACACTTGCCCTCCCAAAGCAGGAAATGAGATCCCCCACTCTATCTGCTGCAGCTCTGATAGAGGCATTCCGTCTCTCCGTCCTGATCTTCTGACCTCGAAGGCTCTCCTTCTCCCCTCCACTCCTGCTCTTCTTTGTTCCTTTCTCTGACTGGTGGAAG